ATGGGAGTGTCTCTTGCAGAAAAAAGCAGGCTAGGGGGATGTGTCATGTATAGTTGGAGACTGGAATGATTTGTGCAAAGCTGAGGACAAAAATGGAGGAAAGGAAAGACCAAATGGGAGCTTTTGGGGTTTCAACAAATTTTTAGCTCAAATGGGAGTTCAAGAAGTTCCCTAAAGATGTCTTCAATACACTTGGGCTAATAATAGAGTTGGAGAAGATTTGTGGAAGAGATTTTGGACAGAATGTTTGTTATCTAGAGTAGTTAGCCCATTTTCTAGCCACTCAAGTATCAAGTTGGTTCAGAACTGCCTCAGATCATTGTATGGTAGTCATTCAAACTAAATAGGAGGTGGTCAAACATAAAAGAAGGTTCCAGTTTGATAAAAGATGGGTGCAAAAGGAGGGAGTGAAAGCTGTGGTCAAATCAACTTGGGAGGTGCCCTCTACAGGTACCCCAATGTTCATTATTAAAGAAAATATCAAAAGAACCAGAGAAACATTTCTCAACTGGAGAAAATACTTTAGATCAGAGAATGCATCTAAAATTGCAGTCTTTCTTTGCAATTGGAGGAGCTAAGACAAGCAGGGGGGCATAAATTGTGAGGCTTGGGATAGAAATCAAAAGGAGTGGATGAGGCTAATGTATCTGAGGGGATCCACTGGCAACAAAAAGCAAGGGCACTTTAGTTCAAGGAAGAAAACAGGAACTCGAAATTTTTCAAGCTTATGTTACCCAAAGAAGAAATATGAACTCTATTGTTAAACTGGTGACAGAGGAGAACAGTTTCAGTGAGAATCCAGTGGAAATTTAACAGATAATTATTGACTATTATGGAAAGCTCTTTACTTCACAAGGTTCAAGTAGGGGTCATGGGTTGCTGCCTTTGATTCACAAAACAGTTACTGAGGATATGAATTCTTTACTGACTGCTCATGTGGAAGAAGATGATATAAAAAAAGTTGTCTTAAGCATTCGTTCTGAGAAAGCCCCAGGGAAGACGGTATGAGAGGGCTCTTTTACCAGCACTTCTGGCATATCATTCGCAAGGACATTTGCTTTTCGGTCAAGAGCTTCTTTGCTTCAAGCCAACTATTGAGGTACTGGCTACATACCTTGATTAGGGGTGTTCACAGTCCGGATTGGTCTGGTTTTAGCCCAAACCATGACCAAACCGGACCTAACGGTTAATTTTTTTTCTTGTCCATAATCGGACCGGTTTTAATTTTTAACCGACCACAATCCGGATCGCATTGGACGGTCCGGTTTGGCGGTTAACCGGTTAAATCCAAAATCCTTGTTTTGGACCTTCAATTTTTATTCTTTTTATTTTGGGCTTAATTTTTATTTTTCAATTTTGGGCTCAAAAGAGAATATTTGGGCCTACAAATTAAGAAAAACAACAATAATAAAATAAAAAAATACACAATTCGTCCCATAAGTATAAAAATACACATTTCGTCCCGTAAACATAAAAATACAAAAATGATGAAGATTAAATTATGCAAACTGAACCCAAGCAAGCATTCATTTTTTAATCAGTTTATACACCTGAAGTAATAAGAACAAAACATTCATAGTGAATGTATTGTACTTGTCGGTTGAAAAAAAAAATGTATTGTATTTGTCGGTCATAGTGAATGACTGAATGTTTATATATATGACTGAATGTATATATATATATATATATATTTATATATATATGTTATAGTTTTTTAATATTTACCGGTCTGGTCCGGCTAAACCGGCGGTTTACCACAGGTAATCCGTTAACCGGACCGGTTATTCTGGATTTTTAAAAAAATTAGCCATCGTATTTTTTAAGGCTTTTTTAACTAACCATTTAACCGATCCGCGGTCCGGATTGACGGGTTTTTATGGTTAAAACCAGACCCTGAACAGCCCTGACATTGATTACTCTGGTCCTTAAATGTTTTTAACCCTGTTTCAATTAGTCAATACAGACCTATCAACTTGTGTGCAGTGTTTTATAAAGCGATTTCGAAGATTCTGGCTTTGATGTTAAGACTCTGTTTACACGGCTGCATTTTTTAGAATCAAGCAGTCTTTCTTCCTGGCAGGCAAGTGCTTGACAATGTAATCTTTGGACATTAAGTTTTTCATTTTTTAAATAGGCATAGATCTCGTAGAAATTGTTTTATGGCTTTTAAATTAGATATGGTGAAAGCTTTTGATAGCTTGGAGTGGAAGTCAGTTCAGTTAACTATGATAAGAATGGGAGAACTCAATTTGTTAAATGGAGTATGGCCTGTATTCAATTCCCAACTTTCTCTTTCAATTTGAATGGCAAGGTCAGTCGTTTGTAACTGCTCCTAAAGGAATAAGACAGGGGGATTCTTTATCCCCCTATCTGTTTATTATTATTTCTGAACTTCTCTCCGCAAAAATAACCGAGGACGCTGAAAAAAGTAGCTATAAAGGAGTTAGGCTGTCAAGAGATGGACCTTTGTTAACCCATCTATTGTTTGCTAATGATACATTACTATTATTTAAAGATGAGGAGCACCAAGTCCTTAAAATTCTGAGTATTCTGCAAGCTTATCAATGTTTTACAGGGCAACAGGTAAATCTGGCCAAATTCTCTATTTTTTTATTAAGAATACCACCTTGGTATGCATGCTAAATGTTGCTCTCTACTAAATGGGATCAGAGTGCATTCTTCCACTAGGTATTTGGGACTCCCACTAGATAGTGGGAAGTCCAAGAGAGAAGCTTTTGATTATATTCTAACTGCGGTAAAGATGAGAATACTAAGTTGGAAAAACAAATGGCTCTCCACAACAAGTATGGAGGTTCTAATTAAAGTTGTCTTAAATGCCCTTCCTGTTTTTGCCATGTCTAGTTTTATTCTTCCTGTGGGTTTCTGTAAGGAGATCTCAAGTGTTTGTGGTCAGTTCGGGTGAACAAAGGGTCTGAGGTGCAGAAAGGTTTCCAATGGGTGGCTTGGAGTAAGTTAAACCATATTTTCCTAACTCTACCATCTTTGATGCTCAGAAGAAGCAGAGTTCTTCTTGGTTATGGAGTAGCTGGCTTTCAATCTTAAAGGTTTGTGGCAAGTGGATGCAAGTTGAGATTATAAATGGCACAAATACTAAGATCTGGGACCAACATGGCTACCAAATCTGACAGGAATAACTATTGAGTTGCTACCAGGGGTGGACAGAAGGATTGTTTAGGTAAGGGACCTGATGACTAGTGATGGGTGCCACTGGGATGAAAACAAAGTAAGAAGGACATTTTCTCCTGATATCAGTGATTTAGTCGTAAGGATTGCCACTCTCAATCCTAACCAGAAGGACAGATGGATCTGGAATTTGTATAAGAAAGGTACTTTCTCAGTCAAATTTGCTTATTCTCAACTCATTACAGAAAAGTTTCTTAATCTAGGCCAAGCACAAGGAAGTAAGGATTTGGCTAGAGGCACTAAAGTTAGGGATATAAGTTGAAAGCTTAAGGTCATGGGTAAAGTTAAGCACTTTATTTGGAAATGTTGTAATGGATCCTTACCTGTTAGCCTGAATCTGAAGTCTAGAGGGGTTGAGGTTGATATTACATGTTCACTCTGTAGTGAGGTAGGAGAATCAATTGAACGTGTACTCTTCCACTGTCAGCAAGCCAAGCAGGTGCAGAAATTGTCCCCAGTGAACTGGGTTTGGCCTCAAAATATGGTGCTTGGTGGTGGCACATATGTCAGCTTGATAGGGTGAGATCTCTGAAGCCAGAATCCAACTCTCCATATATATTCTTCGGTGGCTTTGGAAATCCCAGAATCTTTAGTTGTTTGAGAGGGTTAGAAGGTCTGCACATCTAATTGTCCATGCAGTTGTGCAAGATTGGATGGCTTTCATGGAGAATAGAGTGGTTAGGCCTGCAGGAGCTTTCTGAACCAGTGAGAGGCAGCTAGGATGGTTTTTCAGTGGCTTCTCCCCTTGTTTGTTTTCTTTCTTGTTGTGGTTTGGAAGGAGTAAGTGCCTCGATTGTGTATAACAGTCTTACTCCTTAGTTTTTGGTTTTAGTCTTGTTTGTTCTTGGTTCTAGGTCCTCGTAGTGTGGTTCTCCATTTCCCGGATTTTCCTTTGTATTTGGTGTACCAAACTTTAGTTTGTTTTAATGAGCATTGCTATCGTTTAAAAAAAAAAAAATGAGTAAATAAGTACATAAACACACTCTAAATGGTTTCACTTTATTAGTTATTCATTATTTATTGTGTATTTATTTTTATGATTTTACAATAAGATAAAAATACTTGTAAATATTTATATTTTATATAATATATTTTTTCAAACATCCTATACTGAACAAGTTTCGGTACTAAGAGTTTGCTTGGATATAAAAATTTTTTGATTTGTTTGGATTTTTTGGTTTGGTTGGGTTAATTTCAAAAGGGTGGTATGATTAGTTGTTAGTGGGTATATCAAAATAATATTTTAAATAAAATAATTAAAGTTGATTTGATGTAAAAGTATGAGAGAGATGATTTGAAGTGAAGGTTAGTTAAAAATATATGAGTTGATGAATAGTGAATTAAGGATGATGTAGTGTGTAAGAATGATTGATTGATATTATTTAATTATATTGATAATATTAATGATAGTGGAGTAGAGTTAAAATTAAGTTAAAAAATTAATTGAGTTAAAAGTAAATTAATTTTTTTAATAAATTTTGTATCCAAGCATTCTCTAAATACTTAATACATTTATAAAATAGAAATGTTTATACCCAATTAGCTTAAGCAACACACCTATTTAGGCTCTGCTACATAAAGACAAAAATGGGAAACATTCCAAGTCCAAA